GTTTTGTAATTTAAAAAGATGAACTACATTATATTTTAGGAATCCGAATTCATTAATAATTTATTTATTTTTTTAGTTTATCATTAAAAATGTGGATTTATATGTGCTTTAATATTCATTAAGGGTCATTAAATTCTTTCGACCATCTTTTTATTAAACCTAACACACCTCTGGCTTTGTTAACCATGGAAAATATGTGGTCGGAAAATGTAAGTTTGGCATCCAATAGGACACCTAAGTCGTCTACTAGCTTAATTCTATCTAGGCTTAGAGCGACTGAAGGTCATTACTTTACACTTAGAGCCGTTAAGATTTAGTAAGTTTGCAGAGCACCAAAATTGAAAGTTGTTAAGGTCAGATTGTAGTTTTCTCTGGTAGCACGCATCATTATATTGAATACAAAGTTTCACATCATCTGCGTACATTAAAATAAAAGAATTTCTTAAAGCGATTGGAAGGTCATGAATAATGTGAAAAATAGCGGACCTAAATGGCTTCCCTGAGGGACACCGGATGAAGCATAAATAGGACCAGACAAGACATCTTTAAATAAAACACGTTGCGTTCTACCAGTCAGATAACTTTCAACCCACTAAAGAAGATCGCATGGGAATCCGATTAAGTCAAGTTTATGAACTAAAAGTGAGTGATTTACAGAGTCAAATGCTTTACTAAAGTCAGTGTAGATGACATCTGTCTGAAGACTTTTTCGGAACCCAGTAATGACATAAGAGGTAAATTCAAGTAAGTTTGTAGTTGTAGACCGTCGAGTCATAAAACCATGTTGATATGGAGATATTACTGATCTACACTGGTGTTGCAAATGGGGCACAATAATTTTCTCAAAGAGTTTAGGAATTGCTGATAATTTAGAGATACCTCTATAATTACCAGCATCCGAAGTTTTCCCTTTCTTGTGTAAAGGATTGATGAAAGATTCCTTCCAAATAGGGGGAAACGAAGTCGTTTCCAGCGAGAGGTTAAACAGTTTGAGAAGAGGATTGCAAATGGAAGACGCGCAGTACCTAAGCACACAGCCGGGAACGCCGTCGGGGCCCGGAGAGTAGGTCGGCTTAATACTCTGAAGATCCTTAAGAATACAACTCTTAGATAGAAAAGGTCGCGTGACGAGGTTCGATTGTGGAACACCGTAGACATAAGGCTGCCTAGCGGTTGTCGAAGGTGAATATGTGGTTTGAAAAACTTGGCAAACATATCGGCTATTGCCTGATCACTTCTCGCCGTTGAGTTTTCAAACGTTAGTGCTGAAGGAAACGTTTAAGGTCTACGCTTAGTCTTAACGAAATTATAAAACTGTTTCGGATCCTGTGAAAATTGGGTCCTACAACGAGCTAAATAATTTGTATAACACTGAGCGTTAAGCACGGTAAAAATTTTACCGAGCAATTAAGTATTGAGAGTAACTAAGCGGAGTTCTAGTTTTAAGGTATTTGTTCTGAAGCCTGAACTTTATATTTTTTAAGGTGCTTAAGCCCTTGGTATACCAAGGAGGGTTATCCGTTCTGGACGGGTACCTCATCGGAACACATATATCAAAAATTAGGTTTAATGCATGGTAGAATATGTTTAAAGCTGAAGTCATATCATTGCATGCGTAGAGACCAGTCAAAATCAGAGATAAGAATATTAAGTTTAAGAAAGTCTGACATGCTAAAACATCGAACCTTTTTGACAGCCCTAGTAGGCTCAGTCGTTTGGAGTGGTCCAACATCGATCGCCAGCTCCAGAGTGGGATGATAAAGATCTTCCGGGCATGTAACCCTAGATATATATACGGAGTCCGAATCTGAGATTAAGCATAGATCGAGTAACCGACCTAAAGAGTTTTTAACATGGTTAATTTGTTCCAGGGTCATGTCTAACATACCTGCAATAAAATCATTATGTGAGGAAGGTGTTAAAGCTAAACTATTTTCATTTTTTGACCAGTTAATTTGTGGTATGTTAAAATCACCCAGAACCACTAACATCTGATAATAACGTAAAAACCTTAATGTCGGCTTTCGTTCTGGCTTGTATGTATGCCAATACGTCTGACTCAGACGTATCCTCGGAAAGCCGGGAAACAAATATATGTTTCTCATGTGGGATTACCTTTAGGGGCTTTGGTGTAGCAGAATCTAATCCTGCACCGCCAGTGCATGCCGATAGTCCGGGCACGAAATTCTCCTGCAGTGTATCGGGTGGGTTCATGTTAATGGAGATTGGAACCAGGACCCTTGAAGCAGACAAACTATCTAACGATTTCCTAGGAGAATGAGAGAACAATTTAAGTAAATTGAGAGTTTAAACAAAAGAAACAAAAGCTACACAGTTTAGTTCACTGCGCGGAAGGCAAACGGCTGAAGGTTTTATTTATACAAAGAAATTCGTATCGGTTTAAGCGTATATTCGTAAATAGCCAGCAAAGTTAACGAGAGTAGAAAAAAACACGTCCGTTCGCTTCGGAAGAGAATCTTCTTCTTGGGTTTATGATTTCTGTGCCAGAATCCATACTGACTAAAAGGGCCTGCGGGATGGTGAAGGGGAATCCTAATCACAGGAGACGACTGAAACCATGTTTTAATCACTAATGTGTGTCCTTTTTATCTATGTGTTGGAATGGATCTTCCTCATCGGTTCCACATGTCATGTTTCCCACTCAACCATACACACGCACACACGTAGTCAGAGGCTTACATATATAGAAATTGACAGTGTGTTTTGAGAAAATTCAACCCCTTAAGACGTTCCCAATCCTCCTAATTAGGACCAGGAATACATTTCAATATTCTTAACTTACGGATAGCGGGGGTCGGAAAACTAATCATGACACAATAGCCACATTTTATTACTTCTTTGAACACGTGCACTGATTTTAAAAACTATAATTTATGGGTTTATGATTTCTGTGCCAGAAGCCATACTGACTAAAAGGGGGAGGGGGAATCCTTATCACAGGAGACGACGGATAATGGGTTTCGGGGTGGGGGAAACCATGTTGTTGTGACAGTTTAATAGCCCATAAATCTGTGCCAGAACTAGCGAAAACTAACTACTTCGTGAAACTGGACTATTGCGTTTATTCCTGGTTGTATTTCTAGTTTTTAATAGTAAGTAATTTTATAAACAAACCTGAGTTTTGTAATTTAAAAAGATGAACTACATTATATTTTAGGAATCCGAATTCATTAATAATTTATTTATTTTTTTAGTTTATCATTAAAAATGTGGATTTATATGTGCTTTAATATTTATAATTAAATTTCATAAAGAACAAGTACTGAAGATTAACCTGCGCAACATCATATACTATGTACTCATTATATAATAAATTCGACTTAAAATTTGCATTAGTAACTGATTTTCCAAATGGTATCTCGACTCCATCTTTTCTCACATAACTCTTTTTCGGATCTGGCATCGTGCGTCCCTGACCAAAGCAACTATGTTTGTCCTTTGGTAGTTTTGTGACATATTCTGCTTCAGTGCATTCCAACATATCACCCAATACAACTTCAGAATGAAGCATTAATCCAGTTGAGTTTTCTTCACTTGTACAACAATAATTTGATGATTTCGATACCATATCAGCATAAATAAAATACATGCCTTTTCCAAACATATACCCGTTCGGTGGGGCTTCTGGAGGAGCTATTTTTAAGCCGTGGGATAATATTCCAGTATAATTAGTTAAACGAGATCCGTTCCATTTATAACGCCTTACTTCCCCTTTGCGAGCCACTTTAAACACATCCACAATTTCTAAATCGTAAGAGCCATGGGTAATAGCATGAGTATTTTTAACATACTTGCTTAGAATAAAATACTCTTCACTATTTTTGTTGATTGGATCTAACTGAACTCCAAAGTTGTGAGAAATTAATGTATAAAACCTATTTGTTGCATCAATAAGACTTGCAATAGTGGATCTGGATTCTATCAACTTAAAAAGTTCAGTTACCACACTATATGCAGATTGAATCTGGTGTGCACTAAGCTTTTCTTTGTTCGGTCAGATATGTTTTTTGTTTTTTAAAGAGAGGAGAGGGCACACTGATCAGCTCTTCTGATTTGATCGAGTTCTGTGCATGGACAGCAACATCATATTTTACACAGACCCATCCTACTCCGCCATCCTCTAGAGCAGCACACTTCTGATAGCCTATGCTCACGCAGTTGGCTCCGATGCATCCTACAGACACAAGCTCGTCCTTCACTTGGGAGAGGATGTCGCCATGTCGCCATCAATCTTGCTTCTCCAGTAAAGAGTTTAAAGAAATGTTGCCGATCTTCAAATTGGTTAAGCGCTGGTACTCCACAAGCACCTTAAATGACCAGGAATTACAATGATATTACTTACTCTACTTTCGCTTCCCTCGAGTATCAAAATGGAAAAGTAAGACATATAACATCCGGACTAACAGCTTAACAGAAAGTGAGCAGTTTACTATCTATCGCAACAAAGTGTATAACTTCTTAAACAGAGCTAATAGCGAAACCGATTTAGCCATGTCCGTCAGTACCTCTGCCCGTATGAACACTGAGACCTGAGGAACTATAAGAGATACACCTGACTCGGTAACTATAAGTGATTGGAAGTTAGTGTTAAGCATGCTGTTTCAAATAGTTCTACCAAAGCTTATTTATTTTCTTGTCTTGGAAACTATTAAAGCTAGAAAGTTAGAATCAAGCAATCCGTTTCCAGAGATTCCACCGCAGCTTATAGCACACGACCACGAGAACTGTATTGTCAATAAAATTTAAATTGATTTTTTTTAGTTGACTTTATATTACCGTTTTTAATATCTATGGATTTGCCAACAAACTTTTAAGCCTGAATATTATTTTACAGTTTATTAAAAAATTGTGGGTATGAGGCCCACATGGGCAATGACACCACAATCATTTCTTACAAAAGGGAGCGTTAGTAAAATTATTCACGGCGTCAATTACTGACAGCATAATTTTTATTTTAAAATTGGATAAAAAGTAACGGGTATCTTATAGTCGCGGAACTGGACTATTGCGTTTATTCTTGGTTGTATTTCTAGTTTTTAAGCGTAAGTAAATTTATAAACAAACCTGAGTTTTGTAGTTTAAGCAGTTGAACTACATTATATTTTAGGAATCCAAATTCATTAATAATTTATTTATTCTTTAGTTTATAATTAAAAATGTGGATTTATATGTGCTTTAATATTTATAATTAAATTTCATAACAAACAAGTACTGAAGATTAACCTGCGCAACATCATATACTATGTACTCATTATATAATAAAGTCGACTTAAAATTTGCATTAGTAACTGATTTTCCAAATGGTATCTCGACTCCATCTTTTCTCACATAACTCATTTTCGGATCTGGCATCGTGCGTCCTTGACCAAAGCAACTATGTTTGTCCTTTGGTAGTTTTGTGACATACTCTGCTTCAGTACATTCCAACATATCACCCAATGCAACTTCAGAAAGAAGCATTAATCCAGTTGAGTTTTTTTGACTTGTACAACAATAATTTGCTGATTTCGATACCATATCAGCAAAATAAATGCCTTTTCCAAACATATAACCGGTCGGTGGGGCTTCTGGAGGAGCTATTTTTAAGCCGTGGGATAATATTCCAATATAATTAGTTAAACGAGATCCGTGCCATAATAATTTTCTATTATGTAGCTTCTTAAAAGGTTTATAACGCCTTGCTTCTCCTTGGCGAGCCACTTTAAACACATCCACAATTTCTAAATCGTAAGAGCCATGGGTAGAAGCATGAGTATTTTTAACATACTTGCTAAGAATAGAATACTCTTCACTATTTTTATTTAATGGATCTAACTGAGTTTTTAACTCTGCATAATGCTTGTCCAAAGGATTAATCTTATCAGCTGCATCTTCCCTTTGGATTAAGCTGCATGCTATCTCGATCTCAGCTAACGAATCAAGCATTTGTCGCAAGTCTTCAATTTGTTTATGTGTTTTAATTAATTTTGGAGATTGAACCCCAAAGTTGTGAGGAATTAATGTATAAAACCTATTTGTTGCGTCAATAAGACTTGCAACAGTGGATCTGGATTCTATCAACTTAAAAAGTTCAGTTACCACACTATATGCAGATTGAATCTGGTGTGCACTAAGCTTTCCCAAAGGCATTTTGTCCATATCAATATGAAATTCCAACAAGGTTCTTTTCATTAAGTCTACATCAAACATTAATCTTATTAAATTTTGCAAAGATTCCTCCAACTTAGATTCGATGGAATTTTCGCATTGGTTCAACATCTCGGGACTATCATCATACTGAATTTCTATGGGGTACATGCGACCAGTAATTTTAACGAAATGTTGACGATTTTCAAATTCATTTCCAGTTTTATCAGCATATACTTCTTTAAATTTCCTTTTGGCCAAGTCACTCGAGCAAAACTCTTCAACTTTTGAGCTTCCAATACTAGTTCCTATTCGACCCCAAGAACGGAAGATCCAATATCTGAAATTAAAATTTGTAAAAACGATTACATATAAAATAAATAATTTGTATAATAATTGTTCGGTCGGATATGTTTTTTGTTGTGTAAAGAGAGAAGCGGGTCCTAATAAAGCATTTTCGCTAACACGTATTCGTCCGTCGCTCTCCCTTTCGTGTTCTGTGTCGTAGCATATAAGCGAAATCAAACTCCCTTTCGACTGCACTTATCGTGCCTTATCGTTCGATTTCAATCGCCAAGCATTTAAAGTAAATAAAAAACCTGCAAATTACAAGATTTCATATTGAATTTTCATGTGTGTATCTTGATTGTTTAAAATTATTTTATTTAGTATTTTATTGGTAGGAAAAGGTTTCCGATTTATATTTACGAGACAATGTTCAATGTTACAATTACTTCACTATGTAGTCAGAAACCATGCGCTGGTGGTACCGGTTGGGCAAGATGGCGAAACATACTATCCTCGGGGTGCAGCTCTGCGAAACTGTACACAGTACCCTTTGAGATCCCCTGGCAAACGATTGCAAGGTTAGGTACGGCCAAGACGCTTGCATATGACGGCTGACCAACCCCAACCTCACTAAATGGGATCAGTACGTTCCATTATAGCACTGCTCCAAATTCTACTCTAGCTCGCCGATCCTCTCCAAGAACTTGCCGAATGGGCTGATGACGTCGGTGACGTCGCCTTGGTCGCTATCTTGAACCGTCCCCGCACTTGGTTGCGGGACTAATAAGCTGGCATCCTGTTCCTGCGTCACTGTCTCCTGCCCATTGTTCAGACGAAATAACATCTTAAATATTATATTATATATTATATTATATTAATTTTAATTCACAAGCTTCACAACTAAGTCAAACGTCTAAAACTCACCACGACCGCCATCTTACAAGTTTCAAAGGTGCCCATTACGCCATCAGGGCACAACACCGAACTGTGATAACATCGAACGACAACACCGAATTTTCTAAAACATCGAAACTAGTTTTGCCAGGAAGCAGAACTGAATATTGGCCAGATTCCAGCCGAGAGTATTGCTGTTGAAATAGCTGCTCGCATAGAGCATCCTCCTTCGAAATTTAGAATCTTCGATTTTGACTCCGACTGAGTTCAGGGTTCCTGAATTGAGGAAACTGAAGATGAGCGCGTAGAAGCTCCTACTTTGAGATCCGAAAATTCGTTATACGTCAATGCGCTGACTTTTGTAGAAGAGAGGGTCGGCGAGCTTTAGAATTTTTCCGGTATTTTCCATTCAGATGGGTTAAGGTCGAAATGTGGGTGATAATCGGTGATTGATCGAGTAACGGCAGCTACAAGCGACGCGCCGTATTTTGCGTTACCGGATTGTGCAAAAATATTAACCGACTTATCCGGTGCTAGCGAAGACTCGCCGATTCCTGATATGGAGATGATTGAGTGATGGATTTCGGGTTGTAGTTGATTTGCGAAACGACAGGTGACGAAGTTGATTTGAGAGGGCGAATCGAGTAAGGCCCGGCTTGGTACGAATACGCCAGAGCGGTTTTTGACATAAACTATTGAGGTGGCAAGCAACACGTAATCGGTATTATTTGCGACAGAGCTACAGGTTGTGGTTCAGGCAAGGATACAGAAACTAAATATGAGGTATGTGGTGGCATTTCAAACCAGGCTACGGAAGGGTAGCAATGGGATTCGATTGCATATGCAAAAGAGTATGATGCTTCTTGTGGCAATTCCTACAGCTGCCAGATCTGCATTGCCGTAAGCTGTGTCCCTTCCGTAGTTAATTTAAACAAACGTGCATCCTTTATGCTTCGTTATAGTGCAGAGTTGGATTCAATCCTAGAAGTTGTGGGCATTTCGTCAAATAATGCTCCTTGGACTCACATAGTACACAATGGTAATGTTGAAAATGAACCAATAAGTGTGGTGCAATGACTTTTACTAGCTACCACCTGTTTGCTAGGTGTATGATCTACCATAGCGCATTTCACGTTCTGCATCATGCGGCACCGCTGACCCAAAAATGTAGAAAATTTGTCCCATTTCGGCAGCTCCTTTGCCGGTCCAGCTTCGAAAGGATGAGATGAATCAAAACACCGTTTAGAATTTCCTGCGTAGTTGCCATAGTATTGAGAGCGCGCAAGTGTGAATTTGCCTTGTCGCTTAATTGCCGCAAACTACTTGCGGATCCCTTCTCCACACCTGGTAGCTTGAATAATGACCGAACGTGTGCCTGGAAATGTAACAATTTATTATCAAAGCCTAAAATCAATAGCCCTGTCACAATTCCTCTCAGGGATCAAATCAATGCTGCGCCATCCAAGCAGGAACCAAGATGCTGGAATTTTTCCACATTTGACAAATCCGCGTTTGTTCCGCGGAAGATGAAATTCCTTCAGTCTGGTAGGCCTAGAATTGCATTTGAAGGCGGCACTGATGCAATGCAATTCTGTTGAAATTGGCATGGACTTTCTTTGTTCACTGTTTAAGTAGCGGCAGATTCTCATTTTCATTTTACAGCACGCGGTGGCAAATCTTATGTGCGGATTATGGGTCGGACTTCATCTCCGCTATTACTAGCCGATCGAGGTTAAGTTGAGAGCTGCCAAAGTCGAAATTGATCCTCTTGACTAACACTAACCGCACCTGCAATTTCACTTTCATTAAATTTAGCCAACTGTTGATCACTCAAGAATGTATTTAACGCCGCAACTGACGCGCCACGGAGCTTGCCTTTGCCCGATTAAAGTCTTCGTTATCTGAAGCATATTCCGTTGTGCACAATTTATCTTTTATTTGCTTCCGACATTTCAAAGTAGTTTCGGAAAGAGTATGCACTTGACTAACGGCGACGAAAGCGAGAATAGAAAAAGCGGGTAGAACGGAACCGAAAAACGAAAAACCTCCGCTTGGCAACCGGAAATATGTAACACTCGGTATTGTGTAAAAGTTTTCGAAAAATTTTCCTTTAACAAATTAACTCTACATAAACATCTTGTCGTAACGTACTTTTATAAGTTAACTCGTTATATAGCGCACACGATGATGAATGAAATGCTTGCTTGAATTTAAGTTTTGTTAGTTTTAAAATATATTATAATTAATTATAATTTATTATTAATATTTTTTAATTTTGGTTATTTTTAATCGAAGTTAGAACCTGTATAGGAAAATCATCACCTCGTTCTTCATGACGTTCATGTTAGTAGATAGAAAACGCGGGTTCTGGAGATTTATGGCAACCGTTGCGCACGCGCCGAATGTGGCAGAGCTTTGTTTTGGCACAGAAATCATGAACCCATGAATTTTTTTAATATTTATTATATTTTATTTGAAAGAGATTTTCCCTTAAACTACATTAGGTTAATTTATGTTTTTCCTATCGCGTTTTTTAGAGCAGTTCTTCTCGAAGTATGTATCAGATCCACAATAATTACAATAAATCTGTAGTGTGTATCCCCTTTTGCGCGTATCATTATCAAACAAACCCTTGAATGGCTCCATTGTATAAGACAACTTGTAGGTTCCACTATTTATTTATTACTGAAGCTTAAACATACGTTATAGTTACATAATATACTTCCTAATTAGAGTTTTTCCAATATTACAAATAGCTTAAACAAATTATTTAGGGAACACCGTAGAGGAAATTTTGTCTTTTGAATTTTACAGTTGGTGAAAAAGTTGGGTAGCTGTGTTAAGCTTCTTCCGATATTGGCACCCGTTGAAGTTGATTATCCTAATAAAGGGTCACTTCACACTCATGCATCTGATTTGTAAATAAACTTTTTTAATATTCCTGACTTAGGAGGATTAGGAACGTCTTGACGAGAGTTTCAAGTTGTTTATTAAAATTTCAGACTTTTTAAGATTTTTTCAAGACAAAGGGACACAGACAATATAAAAAATGAGTTTTAAATAAACTTTTCCAATAGCTTACATATTTAAATAAAATTGTATACACATAAAATAAAATAAAAGAAAAATATTTGAAATTCAAATATAAAAATCTTATTTTGTCGCTCCTATATTTTAGCACAGAAATCATGAACCCATGAATTAAACTCGTTTATTCCTGACTGTGGGAATGTATTTGAAAATCAGTTTTTGTATGAGCACTTTCAATGTGCTCAAAGGATTGATATAGATGACCAGGAAGCAATTGTTTTTCCAGACGACGACTACCTCTTTGACAATGTAAAAGTGGATGACTTAGAAATTAAGTATCTAAATTTACTAAAAGATGAAGACGATGAGTTTTTAATAAATGTTGCCAATAGCTTACATATTTAAATAAAATTGTATACAATTATAATAAAATAATGTAAACTTCTTAGTTCTTTTAAAAAATATTTTCAACGGATGGCTTTTATTACTAACAATTTTTCTCTTCTCGATCCGAATCACGTTGTTTTTCCTTTTTTCTCTTCCGTTAAGATGCAAAGTGACCGTCCATTCAGTTTTTCAAAATCCAACTTCCGTCTACGATCGGTCTCTTATCGATAGCTCCACAATAGCTGGTCACACCAAGTCGCATAATATGAAAATTGAGGGGTTTACAGTCGGGAATACACATTCCTATGGTTTTATTACACACCTGCAACCACGGTTTTAGCCTAGCAGCCTCAAGGATTCCCTTATATGCGAGTTGCGTAAGCTGATAATTGTCTATATCTGTAATCTCATAACGGTCATTCGGAAAAACACGGTTTACTCTATATGGGCCACGATACTTGGGTGCAAACTTCTTTACAATCCCCGAAGTCACATCCACATTACGAATAGCAACAAATTCATCGACCTTGTACAACGTAGGTGCCTTATGCCTTAAGCCGTATGCGGTTTCATTTCGGACCTGTGATTGACATATATTCTCAAGTGCTTCGTCCCTTACTGTATCCAAACATCGCGGTTTCTCCTGATCAAATTTTTCTACCAAATACTCGGTGAGCTCATCAACCACTGGCCCACGTTAATCACAACCAAATAACAAGGAACTAGGGGTCTTTCCGGTAC